GATCTTGCCAAGCTCTATGCATTTCAACAAAACAACTGATCACAGTTGGTATACAGATATATACATTATGAAATAGTTTATTGACTTGGCTAATATCAACCATACTAAAACTGCCAGATTAATGGAAACATTATAAATAGATTTAGTTTATAAACATGATTAATGAGACAACTAATTAACAAATAGTGGCAAGCACACATGCCTAGAGGTATATCAAAGACAATTAAAAAAAAAACAAAAAAAACCTTATTTTCATTTAATATTATTCTGGCAACTATCCAAATATATACTCATCGACATAATGGTATACATATGCAATATACGAGGTAGCTATAAATTTATGCTACCAACAATACCTTTTTAAGAATTCATACCTTAGCTTTAATAACATAAATTGGGGAAAGAAAATCAATCAGCATCACCACATCAATAACAGCAGTAACTTCAACATTAACTGTAGCAGCAGCAACTAGAGTATAGCTAGTTGCAACAAGGCCCACAATAAGGGGGACATGGCTCCCAATTGGCACTCTCAAATTGTAGATAAGCTTCTTCAAAGTATTTCTGGGCAAAACGATTGGCTTCTTGGTGGGTCCAGTGTACCCCAACTGGGTCCCTGTTCTCCTAGAACTCCACTGGTGCCAACACCATCATCAGCAGCATCAACATTAATGCCACTGTTATTAACAGCAACAACATCATCAACACCATCATCAATATTATTGCTACTAATTTTACAGAAATATATTTCTTTAGCAATCTAATGATATAAACATATTAAGGAATAAACTTGCAACTCATGATATAAAAATACAGAAAAAGGAACTTTTCTATAGTTATAAAAAACACATTACAAATGATGTAAAAAACAACGGCCAGTTTTACCAGAGCTAAAAATTGCCTGTTGGTAATTAGACACCAGGGGCACAACATATTCAGAATAGATAGGTGAGTAGCGCTAATTTCAATATATGCACTGAAATTTGAAAATTTGATGAGTAAATAGGGGAGGCCACATTCCCCCATGCCCCACGACTGGATCCACCCTGGGACACAGTATCGAAAAGGCAAGATTTACAAATGGGTTACTGGAGTTATGCAACTACAGTAATATCTAAGTTATGATTTAACCAGTAAAATTAAGTGTGTAATGCTTTAATAACAAAAATATTATATCACAGTATGCAATTCACCAATTTTAATGATGGAAGATTAATTTTTTTAAATAATTGTTATTAAAAATAATTATTTTACAATATACTTAACAATTGAGAACATAACTATAACAATTAACATTAAATGTTGAATTACTTATGTTGAAGAACCACATAAGATTGAACAATTTTCGATGATTTAAAGATGTTCCATTACAAAAATGGTTAAATTCACAGGTAGAAAGGTATACAAAGACATCCATCAATTGGCAAGAACATTTTGTTCTTGTTCTATTTCTCAGTTTTAAATTTATACAGGGAAAGCAATTCACTACATTTTTCTTAATTTTCAGGTTCATTAAATTACGTGGCAGTAAATGATCAATTACATCATGTTCTATAAACCTGTATTCAATTATAGGATAAATTATTAAAATTATAAACAAACTGTTTCACATACTATATTACCCTGAGTAAAGGGTGCAAGTCTGAGTATGGGCATAACATATGTAATGACATTCTGGTTAAAATACCAGTCTTCCAATCAAATTGTTTTAAAACCAAATATATATTTCTGAATTTAATAAAGATAGCCCCTCCTCCTTTTCTCTTGCCTCTTTATGTACACTATAAATAAATAAACAATGCTTTTGGGCAAAACATTTTTATCAGCGAAGTGAAATTTTCACTGTTCCCTGTTTTAATTGGCACATCGTCTTGACAAAGATCTGAATACCTGGTTAAAAATTAGATGCCTTCAGGCTGATTAACTACTGCAAGAATATAGGGGCTGAGTACGTGGTCCATAGATGTTTGATAAAATAGCTGGGATAACAATTTGAAGCACATGAACATCTTGGTAATATCCACAGCTGTATAGACAAGAACTCTTAAACTGTAAACAGCCCTTTGTATATATAAAGCTTGGTTTCCATACAATCACTACAGTGTCGCTACAGATTTTTTTTTACACCAATCGTTGCACTGCGTACCTTTTCCCAACACAATCAGGAACGCTCCCTGATTAAATTGACCAATCAGCGTCGCCAAAAGGGGTCGGCGATAGCGTTTAGCGATTTTTACGGAAACTAGGCTTAAAACTGATGTTTATTACTTTATCATATATCATATTGTAAAAAAAATAATTAATTTCCATGTATTACATTTTTATTTATTTATTTTTATTTTATTTTATTCATTTGGCATGACGGCTCAGGAGTCACAAAAGCGGAAAGTCCACTGTCGCCTGAAAGACGTGCGGCTCCCAACACACAAATTACCAAAAACAAAATAAATATATAAACAGTAAAAAATAAAACATAATAATAGAACATAATAGAACATTTAATATACTTTGTCAAATAACATGAACTGGATACAATTATATTAATAATAATTGCTTCAAACTGACACCATAATTATTTGTCATTATTATCCACAATTATAGTCCATAATTATAAATTATCAGTTCCGGCAGAGTATATTATTGAGGATCCCCTTGAAGGAGTGAAATAACACAGCTTTCAAAAAAATTACATCTTTCAAAAAATCATAAAAATCTGTCATTTATTTTTCATACATTCATGCACCTTATTAGTTCTAACATTCATATACACTTTACTTCAAATATATAACTATAAAATCTGATTTATTTTTCTACAAACATTGAACGGCTAACAAGTTGAAATGAGTTGAATATCATTGAATGATGATCGGTAAATGCACTTCCATCGATCGGCACAGTCCAGGTGAATGCCATCAAACAATTATACACTGATGATATAAAAAAAGAACAATACTATATTAATAGGAATAACAATAAGAATAATCATATAACAATAACACAATATAAATTACAATAATAACAAAGTCAAATATCAATTTAAATAATAGTACAATTTAAATAAGAATAATAGCAATATTAGTTATAATAGTAAAATAAAAATAATATTAATATAATAGTAATACTAAAAATAATAGTAATTACAATGGCAATAATGTCGCAAAGACAAGCCAAACCAGTCACTCGTCGCAAATCATGTTTTGGAGATAATGGCCAAAACATGCTGGAATGTTGGAATTTTGGAAATCTATTTTATTGCACTAAACTAACCATTATATATTTATACATCATGCTATGCTGTTATTTTCAATGTTAAAACAACAATTTTTAACGATTTGGTGATAGTTTCGGCCCAAGAAATGCCTGAAATCGTAAAATTTAAAGGCTGATTTCTCAAATATTGTTCTTTATACAGCTGTATGTTTAAGCTCCTGTAACTTCATAACTAAATGTCAGATTGAAATGATTCTTTTAGCATTTTATAGCTCTAATTTTACTCTTTCTACCTGTATTAATAACTAAAAATTGATTTTTGCGACGAGTGACTGGTTTGGCTTGTCTTTGCCACATATACAGATTAAATAATAAAAACAATAATAGTATTGTTTGAATGTTTGCATAATAAGTAATAGTCCGCATGCAAAGCATAGTACTGAAAAGAACTTTTGTGATGCTGAGAATATCATGACATCAAATTAATTGCTCCAATATTTTATCCGCTCAAAGAACACAATTCATAGCTATTTTAGGCCAGCTCTTTTAAAGGGGATGTCCTTGGAAACGGGATTATATACATTTGGTAGGTAGGTAGGTAATGTCCTTAAAATAATCGGCAGTTATTTACAAAATAGGTAAAGGCAAGACTATTTTTATTCCTTGTTTCACATACTTAGTTTTTTAAAGATTATCAGAGGAGGGCAGAATAAAATTTAAAATAAAATTTTGTTTTCTTATTTAGCAAATAGTTTTAGCAAAAACATCCAGATGGAGGAGAAAATAAAAATAAAATTTGATTGGTAAAAGTAATGATGATATTACGTTATGATGGTTAAATGCTTCAAATTTATATAATATAATATAGGAAGAAATACACATATCAAACTTTTGGAGATTTCAAGGCAGCGGCGGGCGTAATAAAAATGAAGAACAAATGTTTCCAATTTAACTAAATCTATATTAATATTAATAGTACTAATAGTAGTATTTACTATATAAATGATCACATTACAAACTTTAATTTGGTATTTGAATGGCTTCCCTACGATAAGTAGGTCCAGAGATGTGAGCATTTAAAGTTTAGGTGTATGAGAACCAAGTTTTGAGAAAATCGGCCTCAAAGATAAAACTAACCTGTACAAATAATAGGAATAGAATTACAGAATATGTGCAGAGAACAGAGACCTCACATATAGGCACATCATGACTTTTTATGTACATACAACAGAGTTTTTTTATTTAATCTGGACATATATTACAATGTATTTGTCTCCCCAAAATATATGGAAATTCTGAATAGCTCATTTAAAAGGATTCAGAAGTTCCAGAAACAGATCAAAAAACAAAATTGCTGGTTTACAGAAATTTTACACAAACAAAAATCCGTAAAACTGACTACCAGCCACATTAAGGGTCAATGCAAAAGAATACAGGAAAGTTATTATTTAAAACTGTCCATTATTGGGTAGGAAAATTGTGTGTTCTCTTTCAAATTTAATAACTTAATTATATATAGCAAACTGAAAGCAGTTCCAATATGGGATTATTTCCAATTTTCCAGCTGATGGCAGAGAGTACACCTTCAAATATATTCATATAAAAAGTTAACTTACTTCTCTTCTCCTTGGTGAAGATGGTTGTTGTGCTTGTTGTTGAGTCGGTTGCTGGGGTTGTTGTTGTGGTTGCCCATCAGCTGCATCCTGGTTCCTAGCAGCTGCTTCTGCAGCTAACCTATCCTCTTCCTGTTGCAACTGTAAGGCTAGTTCATGACTGAAAGACACACAATTAAAGAATGCTTCTCATCTCAAGTCTCTCATAAAACATTTCCCATATATGAATATATTTAAAGTACATGAATGAATTATCGAAAGGTCCACTGATTAATCTCAGATAAGATATTATCAGGAATGATGACATAATTAATGTCGAAATATTGAATCCCGACACGATGGCGTGCATTTCGATACTTGGAGTATGTACTATACTATCTTGAATGAATTATATAATTGTTTTTCTTTAAATATATAATTATCATAAAAATATTATTTACATAGTACATTTCTAATTCTCTAATTAACCTAAAATCAATATAAGATTATAACTTTGATACAAAATTTAATGATAAAAAGGCAAGACTATTTTAATACCTTGTTTCGCAAACTTATTTTTTTAAGGATCGTCAGAAGACGGTGGAAAAAAATATAAAAATAAAATTTTGTTTTCTTATTTAGCAAGTAGTTTTGCCAAAAACATCCAGACGTAGAAGAGAATAAGTATAAAATTTTATTTGTAATGGGACGGTTAAATATTTTAAGTTTACATAATTAGGAAGAAATACAGATATTTTTGGAGATTTCAAGGCAGCGGTGGGCATAATAAAAATTAAGAAAAACGTTTCCAATTTAAATCTATTTTAATATTAATAGTACTAATAGTAGTATTTACTATATAAATGATCTTTTTTACAATAATAATTATGATTTATATTAGTGCAATTGTATAGTATTATATTGTTTATTATATAAATTAAAACAACAAAAACACAATACAGTAAAAACAAATAACATTGAGCAGAAATTTTATATTTCATCCATTACATCAATTCAGTTATTGTAATTCGCAATATAATGTTTTACATAATTAATCTTTTTATTAGAATAATTTATATGTAAAAAATAATTTTATAATTACTAATAGTAGTATTTACTATATAAATGATCTTTTTTACAATAATTATGATTTATATTAGTGCAATTGTATAGTATTATATTGTTTATTATATAAATTAAAACAACAAAAACACAATACAGTAAAAACAAATAACATTGAGCAGAAATTTTATATTTCATCCATTACATTAATTCAGTTATTGTAATTCGCAATATAATGTTTTACATAATTAATCTTTTTATTATAATAATTTATAATTTTATAATTTTAGCTGCTGGACAGAACACAGAGGAAGCAATCACCATTTTATGAATTGTAGTAACAATTTCTGAAAGCAGAAAACCAGGAACACTGCAAACAATAGTACCATTGAAGCATGTACTTAAAATCCGTCTTATTGAAGAGCATGATTTTACATATCTTTCATATTCCAAATCCTGGTCTTGGATTCAAGTTTCAAGTCCTAATTCAAAATTTCATTAACGCAGAATTACAGCTAATATTTATTTTATTCATTAATGTGAACACATGCTGTCACCATGGCACAATACGAAATGGTGTGTGTTTAGATTAAATTAAATCAAGAAAATTAACAGTAAAATGGTAACAAAATAAAGTAAAATATCTTTAATAAAAGTTTGAATTAATTGTCAATGATGGGATGCCCTCGAAAGTGATTAAGTTCACTATTGGTTTTTCCCCCGGGCATTGATTTTACTTTCTTGATTGTACTGTTTTGCTTATTGTTCATTGCTTCCTGTTGTAAATGCTTACCAGAATAAATAAATAAATAAAATGAAAAAAATAATTTTTTTTTTTACAATTACCTTTTTTTTACAATTGGAAAATATATACAGTATTTATACTCTTCATTTAAATTCCTCCTCAAATAAATCCCTAATTTACAACATTTAGTTTGGTGAGAAAAGCTTTTCTTTCTATCATTACAGAGTTTGACACTTCTAAAAACATCAGCTGATATTGAAGGGCTGTATTAAATAATACATAAAGATGCTTTATGAAATAAGTTGTATTACGAGTGGAAATGTTTTTGTAGCCACAAGAAACATCTTGTGCTGCCACAAGATTTGAACCCAGGCCCCTGGGTTTGGAAGGCAAGCATTTTACCCACCAAACCAGATCTCCACTACGTTTTTGAGGCTTTGGATGTTCAAGTAAAGAAATCAAAGGCCTTGTATCCACATGGTAGTGTCTATTCACCAGGCGAATTAAGTTTGTATTTCATTTTATTACAGCTGATTACAAGCTTTTACATTGGAAGAAATTTATTCAGTGTTAATAACAGACGAATGACGGAAGACTTTTTTTCCATTGGGGTCTTAGTGGTGGTGACTGGGCAGTACACTGGGAGAAATTCCCTACTCTTTGTCTGAAGAGTGTACTGTGTCTTTTTAACATGGCATGGACCATATTGCACGCAGGAACAAAGGTTTAAACATTACATTTTTTCTACGTGCATTTCAGCCCTCTAGCTGAACGACAAGAAGAGCAGCAAATGGGTACCAATGCTTAGCAATGGATCAACACGGTTTGACACGCACAGTGGCTACCACAAGCTTAGCCTACTATGCTGTCTCTGCCTTTCTAGAAACATTACGGAACTGGGGGAGGGGGGAAAGCAAACCATTTGTATATACAGTAGGAGCTTGATCTGGTGACAAAGATAATAATGTGACATGCCTTGTTATCATAACCTATGTAACTCCTTACAAAATATTATCATCACTATTCAGTTATCTTGAAAAAATTAACAAATTAATATACCCTGTTTGACAGTACTTACTCAGAAAGGGGCACTGGTGCTTGCTCCACGGGGGCTTCAGGTGGATCTTCCTGACATCCTTGGTCATTCTCTTGTAAACTTAAAGCTATTAATAAACTAAAAGAAATTAAAAAAAAACATCAAATATATGAGCAATAGTTAACAAAACTCACAAAGCAACCATTTGTGTTATAATTGTTTTTCTTCAAATACAGATTAGATTGGCAGAAGGGAAAAACTGCGACAGATTTTTTAGCTCCGATGAGGAGCTCTAGAAATGCTCGGCTGATTGATTAATAGATTATTTTTTTAAGATCTACTGCCTCTAATTTATACTGCCCTCATGAGGCTGACTAATTAATAGTTGATTAATAGATCTGTTTTATAGCTCTACTGCCTCTATCATACTGCCCTCATGAGGAGCTCTAGAAACACTCGTTTGATTAATAGTTGATTATAGATCTTTTTTAGCTCTACTGGCTCTATTATACTGCCCTCATCGGAGCTTTAGAGATTACGAGAACTTGTTAAATACAGTTTTATTATCATTACAAAAAAAAACTAGTTTCCAATATCTTACTCGTTTGATATTTGTTGGTCTTGAGTCATAGGGGGCGAGTCTGGCATTGACGGTGACCTGGTATTGAAATCTGCATTCAGGAAGTTGCAGTCGCCCTCTACATTGGTTAAGGTTTCCCAGACTACATTGCTCTCCCTCAGGAAGCCTTGGTCTGTCACAAGGTGATACAATTGATTCTACAAACAAGATAATGTAATGTAATGTAAAGTGGTTCAATTTATATAGCGCTTTATAACGAAGTCTCAAAGCGCTTAAGGTGTGGATTAACTCGCACAGTAACTTCTCCTCCCCTAAGGGTCTCTTCGAGTCTGAGCTACCCAGTAAACCGGTACCAGCTATCTCTCATCTGTACAAAACAGGGGATGTATGAACCAGGGTAAACCCTTACTTGTCTCTTGCACTGGGTTCTTTATAGTGCACATGAGCCATTGTGTACACTGGGCCTACGGTTTATAGTCCTTATCCAAGAAGACTTGTTCCACCACCAGAACCCTAGGTGAGTAGGTTACGGTGCGGCACCCCTGCCTTAACCGCTCAGCCATCCAACTCGACTGACATAATAAAGAGTATGACAATAACGTGCTGGCAATTATTACATCTCCATGTTCTATTCAATTTAATTTATTTATTTCAAGAAACTTCAATTTGCAGAACTACAAAACTGAATAACAAGAAGTTAAAAATTTATATTTAAAACATAAAAAAACAATAAGTAAAGAAATAACAAGGTCTGCAATAAACGTTATTAAAATACCATTAAAACTGTGTGGGCCTAGTCTCTTTCTGACTAAACAATGAACTGGTTATATCATCTGCAATTCAAATCTTGATAGTTTTGGATGAAATATTTATACTTTTTGGTGTTTAAAGTTCTGAGAACCCTAGAAAATAGAGGCTGAAGGAGCCATTATTTTCTGAAAAAAATTATGCCCGCAGTGCTAAAAAAGAAGTTTTTGAAGGAAATAATGACTCCTATGGCTTCTATTTGCTATAGGGTCGACTATAAATGACTGTAATTGATTTACAGTACAAGTCAGTCACTCTTTTTTATATAATTATATAATTATATTTTTAGATGTTAATCATATTTTTGTTTATTTATTTAAATCAAACAGCCAGGTTGCGGTGACCGGTTGCTCAGTGATCAATATATCAACTGCGCATGTGCATGTTGGCTGCACGTGCGAGAATCATTTACTAATTATTTACTTCACAGCTCTTCATGATACGATGAAGGTGATTAAACTGATTGTCACTTTTATGATGAAGTTTAAGTAGGTTTAGTCCTAACCTCATGGTAGACATTTGTTTAATAGGTTAAAATGTATTGTAAACATTATTATGAGCATTGCCTTCTCATTTCAGTTTATTAGTAAGTCAATTGCCTTGTTATCTCATAACCATAATTATGCCGTTCTAGGCCTTGTCTAGGTCAGTCGTCTAGGCTTCATTCGTGTTGTTAACCAGTGCCGTAGAGCAAGATTGTTAGGTCCGCTGTGTGCGTTCAGGGATTAGCTACTGCAACAAAATATTCATCATGATGTAAATATCCCAGCTTTCATTGAGCTTTTCGCACAGAAGACGCAAAGAATTGGAGGCACTATATTGAATTACTCGGGGGATAGGAAAATTAAGTGCAAATAAAAGTGTTGACGTCACGACTGACTTATAATAATTAATAGTTCGCTGGCAAATACAAAAACAAGGGACAGGGGTACCATTATTAAGCTGAGTTTTTATAAAATAAATTATGGTGTGCTCCAAGAACGTGAAAAATTGTAGTAAAACTGCAGACTATAAATTATCAACAATAAAAACCAAATAACCTACAAAACCAACGTAACTGTCCCCCTAACATGTACTACTAATCTAATGCACTCAATGTAACATGACACGGAATCAACTTGATCCTACAACAAAGGTTTTAATAACAGTATGTTTCAGACAGGAACAACACAAGAAGAGAAAGGACTATCTACAATAGTATAGGAAATGTAATGAAAGTACAGTAGTGTTAAGAGCACTACATAAATATATCCCATCAAAGGAAATCAACCATCCAAGTCAAGCTATTGTAACATCATAGTGCACTTATGAAAAATTACAAATTAATTTAATGCATGAAATGACTTAGCACTGAACAACAAAAGGTCATTTCAGAGTGTCATCATGACAAATACCAAACAACAAATATAAAACAAAATAGTTTAGTAATAAATGAACAGCTGAACACACAGGGGGATTTAATTTAAATTTGAAAGAGGACAAATGAAACAAAAAATTAATTTATTTCATCTATAATACAAAGAAAGCAATACTAGCATTCAGTTGCCTAAAAAACAGAAAATACTGTATAACCCGCTATAAAACCCTCAGTTGTGTGATTGTTATATAAATACATGATTTGATATTGTCACCGTTGCAACAGCCACTGTTGTCGTCATTCTGAAATTAATTTTTTCCCCCATACAGAATAGAACTGAATACCATACTGAATTAAACAAACATCCATAGATTGCAAACTGCCTATTCACAATAGACTATAGGAATAAACAACTCCATAAAAATACAATTTAAAAGTATTGAAGTCAAATGCATGTACAGTACTGTAGATATAAATTTAAAATACAGACATCAGTATGCTTAAAAAGAATAACAACCAAATTAATGCCTTGAAAATACCAATGTGAAATTGATTAAAAATAAAAATAATATAATAATAATAATAATAATAATAATAATAATAATAATAATAATTTTATAATAGTAATTACAATGAAGATAATAATTATAATAATGACAATGACAATATGCATAATATGCCATTTTATATCCAGCACTTGTTTTAAATAGAGATGCTCCCAACACTACTCAAACCGCAGACATTAAACAGATATAAAGTAGTAGAAAGAAACTAGTAATAACAGTAAAATAATGACCCTGACTCATATTAATCAAACTGAAAAAAGCTATAAATTCTATAAAATAAATAAACATAGAATGAAAATATAAATAAAATTTAAAAAAATTAAAATAAAATTAATATAATTAATTAATTAATATAATCAACCCCACCAGGTACTTATTATACTCCTAGGAGTAGAGAAGCAATGTAAAGTGCCTTGTTAGATGACACAAGCAAAATTTACAGCGAGAGATTGAAATTCCAAGGTTGAGAAACAAAGCTTTTTTTTTGCTGTGCCAAACCGTTTCCACAAAAAGCACTTCATAAAATAAGGAAAGGGACTATGCAAAGGTTTACTGACATAACATAAGAGGTCGTTCAACATTATCAACAATTTCACAAGTGCACAACTTGGGGGGTGGGGGTAGACAAATTTGTACACTCTTACAATGCATAAATATGTTGATTCAAAATAACATGCAATATGTAAAATAATGGTAAAATTATAATGTAGCTATTGATATAAAATTCATTTTTAAGTAACCAAGTACAATGCTTTGGTTGACCTCACAAAAAATGGAGAATGATTTTGTCAACATTTTTTGTACACTTTCGGGGGGGGGAGGGGGGATTCCGAACATGAGTACTGTTTGTAGACTTGTGAAAATGTTGATAATTATGAACAATCGCTAACATGATATAAGAATCAAACATAACATATACATCTCTTTGAAAGTAGTCAGAATTACGATTTTGAACTGTAAGTAAATAATATCACCATACCTCATGTTTTAATAGAGTACTAAAATGATTATTTCTGAAGAAGACACATGGATTGTCATCCTTGATTGTGCTGTTTATCTCACACAGTCCATGATATGTAAGCTGGGCTGCTGTACTTTCTAAGAACTGTTCAGCAACTAAAGCTAAAATTGGTACAAAATAAAAAAAACAAAGTATTAATTTATTTAAGTTTTACTCATTGCCATAGACCTATCAATTTGACTATAAACAGTTTCGAAAAATATATTAAATGTTTAATCTCTACATAAGCAAAAAAAAGTAGTAAATTAGTAATGCAGCAACACTTTAAAATGGCCATTGCCAAATAGGCCAGGTTAGCATACAGTAACTGTGCAGACAGTACCCCAAAATGTGCTTGGTTCAAATCTAACACCAGGTCATAATTTCCTTTTCTCTATGTAATATAAATCATAGCTTTTTGATTTTTCAAAATACAATTTAATATCCTAATTACATTTACTGTAAGTAACCTTTTAAATTTGAGAATAATTACATGTATATAAAAAAGCATCTACTGTTCTATGTAACATTCTATGTAAATTGATTCTGCTAATGACAGTGAGAGCAATCTCACTGAGTTATTAACCTTACACACTAAATGCCAAGATACATAATTTTTAATTGTAAAATTATTTCAATTTTTGGGGGAGAGGACATTGTGTTTATGTC